GGCAAAGGGGGGGAAATGGGCGGCATCTGTAATACCATCAACAGTAAATTAATAAAAAAAGAATGAACTGAAAGGAAAGATTTTTTTCAATGAGAAAAATCAATGAATTTGAAAAGAAAATCTTCTCCTTTTTATTACTGTCATTTTCTGATATTTATAATCCTGTGACAGAAAAGAGCTCTGGGAACCAATCTGAGATTAGCTCACCTGGGTCCAGGGAATGTGATGGCCTCACACTGTATTTCTAAGTGCTTTTCCTGCCTTAGAAAACAGGCCTCAATAAAGGTTGCCCAGCCAAACCTCAAGTGGTATTCTCTCTCTCTCTCTCTCTCCCCACCCCCTTCCTCTCTCCTGTCCCTCTTTTTGCCCCACTTCACACAATGTGAAATGCAATCCGACTTATGCAATTGCTGCTTTGATGGCACTGAGGTTATATAGGCTTGTGATAATTTTTAAAAATGCCAATTTACCATTTGGAACAAAGGGCCATTTTTGAAGGCAATAAAAGTGCAAGACACAATTCTATTCAAAAGAATGCCTCCTTTCACCGTGCCAACGAAGTTTGGTTTTCAAATGACATTTAATAAAAGTCAACCATCCTGTGTAGTATCATACATTTGGCATGCCCGGTAGACCAGCTAATTCTGCAACATATCTTTTGCCAGTAGATGTTGGACCATTTCCCTAGGAAACCACAAGGGTATTATTGTGCTTTCTTAAGTATTCAAACAGGATCTGTTCACTAGAAAGACAAAATAGCTATTTCAGCTCAACCAGTATTTGCTGAGCTTGCCGTCTGCTTAACACTGGGCTGGGCGTGAAGAAAATCTGGATAGAAAAGGCATGGTTTATGTTCAAAGACATGGAAGTTCTAGAAAAGGCTAACACATAAAACTGAGAAAAATGCAAAGTAATAAAGTGACTGTAATTACGTAACATTAAGTCCATTCTTAACCTTACTCTGCGATCCTGCAGCACGGAGACAGGGACAGAGGAAAGAATGCCAGCACTGTGGACACTAAAACATTTCCTCGTCTATACAAGACTCTAAATCAGAGTACGGCAGGTAAAAGAGATTAATAGAAAGGCATGTGGCCTTTTGAGTTTTAGGCAGGAATTATTTTTTGGTGGGGGAGGAGATATACTTTCACTTGTGTTTTCTACTTCTTACAAATATTTTAAGCAGATAAAAAACATGAGCTCTTTCTGTTTGTAATTCTAGAAATGTCAGTGTGTTTAAGTCACTGAAAGTGTTTCCAGTTCTCTACTTTCAGATCATCCACAATGGTATTTATTGTCTGACCATAAATTTCTCCATGGGACATTTAGTATATTCAGTGTAGCATCTTACTACGAATACTGCCCTACATTGCCTCATCTCCACAGTAAGGGAGGTGTATATATTTATATATATTTCATATACATGTATGTGTGTGTGCGTGCGCGCACGTGCATGTATAAGTGCATGTATGTCTACATAAATGTATGTGATATATACACACAAATTATATACTGTTTATATATGTTTATATCTGTCTATATACTTTTTATAGACACACACACAATCTCTTATGCTACAAAAATAGATGTTTTGCTACTTTGAGTATGTCTGAACACAAACTGATTAGACTCGAGCTTGAGACTTAGGTGTATAGTGCAAAATGTATAAGATACTGTTTAATTTACTAGACAAATCAATTTGCTATTTATTTTATTATTGGTAAGTTTAAATATAAACTGAAAGATAATTAATTTAAAATGACTATTGCTCATCCAAACATAAGCTAGTACATCATATCCCCTCAAATAGACTGTCTGCAACTTCAGGGGAGTGACTCTGGTTTCTGTTTTCCTCCAGCTCCCGCACTGCCCCTCAAGATGCTAAGCCTACGAAATGCTATGTGTCAGGGACTCAAGGATCCTTGCACCTGCCCTTAGCTGTATCCTGAGGTAACACTTACCTGGTTGCTTGATCACCTAAAGATCCAATAAAAATGGCAAAAGCATTAACTTGAGGGTTGCTTGTCAGGATTTCGGCAAACTTGGCAGGATGTATTCCATATCGGGACAGGTTTGCATCACTCAAGACGATGACGAAGTACTCGTCAGCCTCTTCTCTGACGATTTCCTGGATGGCATGCTTTGTCCCCTCTAACGTGTGGTCCCCACTCATGCAGAACTGCGCGTGGGCGTGCATTGTCTGGGGGGAGATGTTGCACAGGAGCCACAGGTGAGAAACACCTTTTAAATAAACATGATTTTTCTACTGATCACGAGAATGCACAAATAGCAATTACTGCATGTGAGTAAGAAGTCTGGGCGTGAGTTCCAGCTAACTGGCCCGGGACGTGACAAGAGCACGCAGTACCATCTGTCTGTGGGTAAGACTTCTGTTAGAAACAGGAAATGTTCCAAAACAACCCCAGTTGGCATTTAACTTTTAAAACTCAAGTAGCCATTGAAAGTGAGAGATGTAAGAAAATACAGAACTTGGTATCACACCAGAGGATGAAGAGAACAGGAGAAAAGTAAGGAATGGGTAGAGTTTCCAATAAACAAAGTTATAATACTAAACACTCTTTACATCAATAGCAATAGGAGGAAATCTACATTACAATCATGGTGTGTGTTTCTATTGTAGATCTAAGTATGTGAAACTGCATTTATCATAAAAAATACTGAGAAATACATAAAGTTGGGGTTCGAGAGCACGTTAAAGGGGGTTATTTTTCTCTTACTACTGGATACCTAGGGGCTGGGAAGAATCGTATGGGACACAGGTGGTGACCCAGGCTGTGGACTCCTGATACAGTCCTGAGAACCTGAAAGATGTAGGGAACCAAGTTTACATTTTTTATGGTGGAGAAAAGGATTTTAGGCATAACAAGTATTTTCTCAGTTTGAATATTTGTGAAACAGAAAGTTGTTTTCTTTCCTGGATCTGCTGCTTCTTTGGTGAATTTTTTCAATGACCAGAAGATACTCTGCCTCGTATGGTAGAAGTTTTCACAATACAGAGGTACCCGAATGTATTTACCTTCAGAATTTCTAGTCTTTGCTTGTTGTCCTTGGGGATTTTGTTCATTGGAACCAGATCAATGTTGTAGCCGTCTCCAGAGTGTCCAGCGATGTCATACTACAGGTAAGAGAACCAGGGGGTTAGAGGCCTCTGTCCACTGCAGAACTGTCATTGGACACATAAGCCCCTAACTCTTTGGTCTGTTGCTGTCCAGTTTGCAGAGAGACGGATATGTGTTTACTAACACAGGCAGCAGAGTCCAGGCTCCCCCTCTTCTGGTCTATCCTCTTGTGTGATCTCCACTCTCTAGCAGGACGCAGAATGTGAGGAGGGCTTCAGGGCCACCAAGAATTCCATCCTTAGCTTTAAGGGGAGAGTTAAAAAAAATCACACACACACACAGGCACACACACACGCACACACACACACACTGTGATAGGCAGAATTCTCAGGTGGCCCCATGACTCCTTCCCTCTGGCTTAGAGTCTATACGCTCTTTCCTCAGTGGGCCAGGACCTGTGAATATCACTCACGTTACCTTACATGGCAAACGGGACTTTGCAGATTTAACTAAGGTCACTAGTCAGTTGACTTTGAGTTGATCAAAAGGGAGATGATCTAGGTGGGTCTAATGTAATATTATGAGCCCTTTAAAAGCAGAGTTTTTTCTGGCTGGTAGTAGAAGAGAAAGATAGAGAGATCTGAAGCAGCGGGGGATTCGACACGTGGGAGTTGCCTGTGGCTGAAATGGAGGGACCACGGGGCAAGGCCCTGAGAGTGGCATGTAGAGCAACCCTGGCTGGGAGCCAGCAAGGAAACAGGGACTGTAGTCCTGCAATCACAGGGAACCAAATTTTGCCAACAACCTAAATGGTCTTGGGAGCAGATTCTTCCCCAGAGCCTCCAGGTAAGAGCCCAGCCTGGCTGCCACCCTGGTTTCAGCCTAGTGAGACCCTGAGCAGAGAACATAAATGAACCCACGGGGCTTCTAACCAACCGTTAGTAAATGGATCTTGCTTTAAAACGCTGTTTGTGGTGATGTTATGCAGCAACAGAAAACTAATACACAAGTTTTTTTTCCTGAACACAAATTGAAACATATTCGCTGCATGAATGAGAGAAAAGAATAAAAGGGAAGTAAAAATTACCGATAATCTAATTACTTAAAGATAACCTCTGTTCCTGGTTTGTTGTATAAGCTCCTAGGCGTCACTTCCTTCCACTCTGTGTAAGAGGTTGCACACTCACACACACGCACGTTTACATCGACACAATTTTTAATCAAAACGGATGACATTGCCCATGTGACTTTATAACCTGCTTTTCTACTTGACAGTGTAAAACATATTTTTCAATTTCGAAAATACCTTTAAAATTTTCTAACTCAGAATGTACACGAGAAAGGCATGTCTGTTGAGAAGAGACTAGAGCTGAGAGTGAGATGCAGGCCTTTTACAGAATCTGGAAAGTTTGGGGCTTGGGGCAGACTAAAGGTGGGACAAGGTGGTTCTCTCCAGCTGCTGAGTGCACCTCCAAATTCCCTCTCCCCTCCCACCGATATGTAGGTCAGAATAGACCTCAGGGTATCTGGACAACTGGGGATCCGCAAAGAAAATTCTGAGTGTGGGTCTGGGGCAAAAGATTTCAGGGAGAACTGGGAGAACCATGGCACAAAATGCTTGCGAACCACTACTGTCTGCGCACCAGCTGACCACCAGGCCCCAGCTGCCTTCTGAGCTCCTGCCACGGGTAACACTCCCCTCGCGTGGCTTTGCAGGTCTTTCTTTCTAACTGGCGGTTCTTTGAAGGTGAGCCCGAATCTTACCCATCTCTGAATTTCAGTGTCCATGAGTGTGCCTGGGGTGCCTGCTGCACAAATGCTTTAAGAATGTCTGCGACCAGGCTGGGGCGGCAGGAGGATTTCCTTTCCCATGCGGGCTACATTCTTTTACAAAAAACTGTTTGGAAGTTGGACTATATCCCCTCTCCCCAGCAATCATGTGAGAAATGGTGGTTAGCCAAGCTAGCTGACAAAAAGCAACCCATAATATAACTGAAACCATTGTGTTTAAATGAAAAGTAGAAAAATCCTGTTGAAATAATTTTTATGCATAAATGGGAAATCAGAAGGCAGTTAGGTTATTGGGGAAGATGAGTCCGTATCAGACACGTCGACATCGTGCTTTAGGGAGGCATCAGGGAAGAAACCCATTTAGTGCCGTCAGAGATGTGGCTGTCATCCCC